TACTTATGTACTTCGACAATTGTCGTTAAAGTGAAATGTAAATGTCTGCTGGTCACAAAAAGCAAAAACAAAAAAAAAAAATTATGCGACAACAAGAACAGCAATTAACAATTGCAGTTACAATTTAATTTATGTGTGAATGAAAATTGAAATGTTTTGGCGACTGTTTGTTGGTGTTGTTGCTTGTGTTGTTAGCGGGGTTGTTGGAGTTGGTGTTTGTGGTGACGCTGTTAAAAAGTAAGTACTTCTCATGTTCACGCCGCTGTTGTTGCAACTAAGCAACGGTCAACTGTCAGACGTCAGCAAATTTTCACTTTGCTGTTGTTGTTGTTTGTTGAATTTGTTGTTACTCGTCAGAGGCGGAGTACAAACATTTAAATAAAATAATTTTATTGCCAAAATTGAAGTAAAAAAGTGAAATGAAGTGAAGTGGCGTGCTGTGGCATGGAGCGGGACGCGGCGCATGCACACTGTGCTACTTTAAAATTACTTTGAAATGTAACATTCATGAAATTAAGGAGCAAAAAGTAACTGACGCAAGTACATGCAAATAACAATTTCAAAAAACAATTTGTTAAACAACAAACAAAAAAATGTGCCTTTGTAAGTGTGTGCGTGTTGTGTACTCATATGTTGTTAATGTTGTTGTTCACTTTTTCAAACTTTTTCTTTTGTTGTTTTTAATATTTTTATGTGTCCGCGTTGTGTTTTGCTGCCAGTCAAATTACACACATTTGACCTTAATCGCTACTTGCCACTTTGTAGCCACCAAAAGCATTTTTATTAGCAACATTTGCTATTTCACTTTTATTTAATTGTTTCTTTTGTTTTGTTTTTTTTTTTTTGTGTGCCGAGAAGGCTTTGTTTCGTTCGTAAAATAGCAATTTTTTTAATATTTTATTAGATTTAAGGCTTTTTAACACCAAAAATTTTGAAAATCAAGTCATAATAGTTTTTTTTTTATTTAATTGTTTTATAATTTTTTTTTTTTTTTTGATATTTTTAAAATTTACTATTTCTCAAATTTATTTATATTTTTGATATTTTTTCATTTTAATAATTTTTTCTTAATTTTTTGTTCTTTTATAAATTTTATGTTTCATATCCCCAAAATTTTCCCCAATTTTTTTGTTAATAGTTTGATATTTTTTAAATTTACTTTTTATGTTATTAATTTAGTGATCTTTTGAAATATATTATTTTTTTGTTATATTTCTTAAATTTCTGTTTTGATATTTTTACATTTTATGAATTTTTTATTAATTTTGTGGTGTTTTATAAATTTTATGACACGTTCTCTCATAAGACTTAACTTTATAGAACATTAACAATAAAATTATAAATTCATTTACTGATATCACTCACTGACAAAGCATATTCTATAACATCATAATAATTCACACAATGACTAACCTCACTTTTTGCATCACAAATTTTTGAATAAACTCGTACAAATACTTCACACTAACTACTCATAATTTTACTTACTACTACAACGTCTCATTGTGTAACTCTTTATTTATTTACACCTAACGCCATATTTAAAGTTCAGAACTGTAGATATTTTCGCTTTTTAGGTGGCCTTGTAGAAAAAGTTATATTGAGTTTTCGTTTTCGTAAAATTTTAACTCATAGACCACACTATCAACCGAATCCTTTCATTGTTGCATGCTTCCAAATAGCAAATATACAAGGGCTGATTGCTTTATGTTTTAATTAGTCTACAAATAGGCGTATATCGTGTATCGCCTCCATGTGTACTTCATATTTAAGAAAGTTAATATATGTGAAATTAAATATATGTTATTTAGTAAGTAGAATGAGTAATTAAATGCAATTCGGTTAAATGCTGTCAGCGATAAAAAACAAAACATGCCAAATATTTGTGTAAAGATACCAGTAACTTGGTGTAGTAGATAATTTCTTATCTGTGAACTGGTGGAGACCGCATATATGTAGGTAATGAACGCCTACTTTTCACTTAAATCGTTTTAGCTAGCGTTATTTAATTAAAAATATAATATATTTGCACTTAGATCAATTTTGTTGCCAAAGCAGCTACTAAACTTTTTCAATCATTTACTGAGATTTTTTGGATTTCGCGATTGGGGTGATGCGATCCCTGTCCACGTAGATGGAACCCGGGGACATTCGGTATAATTGTAGAAGTTCCACTGAGTACTTACAAAATTATTCTTTGAATAAGACAAGATTCTTTTAATTATAGCAAGACTTTTATAGTACTGAAAGACATTTACGTGTTTAATGAGTGCTGAGTCTATATTACTTGACTCAGCGGCTCAAACGAAAGTTCATTTTGTAGCTCGCTGAATGTATATTTAATATTGAATGAACTATATTAAAAATTATTACTGTGCACTGTTCAATTATCAACAATAAACCCCACTAATTATACATTTTACGTAAATCACGTATATGTTTAGTGGTTTTAATCGGTACACGCGTAAGCGGCCTTAAATTTACGTAAGAAAAAATATATTTATAATTGGCAAATATTTACGAATTTCCTCTGAAATCTCAATAAACTATCATATAATTAATAATATCGTCACCTAAGTCACCACTCCCATTGAAAAAAAAAGAGAATTGATTATAAAATGGTTATATATTGGTTTTAAAGTGGTTATAATGATTATATATTGCTTATATCTGACAGCGGAAGCTGAAAATTTAGTGCTACATATATGCAATACTCGTATGATGTAGCGAATAATAAAATTAAGAAATTCGAATGCGATAATCAGCTAAAGTTGAATGATCCAAAATATGAACATTTTAGGTCTTAATTATAGACTAACCTCAAAATTAAGTTTTTCGATGCATATTTTTATAAACAAGTAGATTACTAGTCACATTTAGACGCTTCCAGCAGTTTGCACAAAGTGCGTAGCTACGATTAACAGCGCGTGTAGGTGTGAAGAGAAAGAGGCTGTAACAACAGCCTTGCATTGAAAAATAGAAACTGTCAGAAGCAATCAGTCTTGAATGCGATTGTGGGACATCAACAAAATCAAAGCGACCAAATGTCAAGTGATTTAAAGTAAATATATCTAAAGCAAATACCATAAAATGGCAACAAAATTTACAAAATACAAATAGCTATAAACGAATACATAGCAAACAGATAGCTATAGTTAAGCCTGTATGTGTACAACATAATATCGCGTCGCTTAGATCATAACAGCAACAAGTTGTTGTTTGACAAAACTGGCAATCTGTCCAAAACTTTGTGGCAGCAGCAAAATTTCAATGGCACGCCATGTCAACAGTGCAACTTTTTCAACTCCAATGCATTGCGTAGACTGCTATTGCTTTTTTACTATTTTTATTAATTCTTTTTTTCCATTTCTCAATGTCTCCGTTGCTAGCGCGCAACTGGAAGGTCATGCGGTAAAATTGCCAATTCAAGCGAATATTACTACATTTATAGGTGGACGTTGCAGATAAGCTGCACTGTGCACTGTGTGTCACGCAGTGATGACAGATACTTGCCACAATTCCATAAATTCATGATTTTTCGATAGCTGCATTTAGCGTGGCAATTTGTTGACGAATCGCGAATGCAACGCGCGGCTATTAAGCACTAGATCGTCAAATGATTCTCTCACTTTTTATATAGTTTTGCAAATATTTGCAATTAGTTGAAAATTAAACAGTAAAATTTTGATGTCACTAATCTTCGCGTAGCATCAATGTGCATAGAAGCAAAGCGCAGCAAAAAAAAAAAGCCATGCTTGCCGCTTACGGCATGCCATGAGTTACAAACATGTAAAAATCGACAGCAGACTATAAATAAATGTATGTATACATGTGTGTGTGTGGGGGTAAGTGCCTGAAAATGACAAAGTCAACGATTAGAATCAACTGGCCAAACGAGGAAAGGCGCGTCGCCGCGTCAATAGCAGCAGTAGCGCGCGGCTGAGGAGCAGGTGAATTGCATTGTGGCGGGCGGACAGCGTAGAAAAGTTTAGCACAGACAGCAGTTGAGCCCATGTTGTGCGCCTGTATTTGGCGTGGACTATGGAATTTTTCGCCTTTTCGCAGCAGCGCAATTTGATTGTTGCATTGTTGTAGACGACGAAGCAACACATACAAACAGCGAAACGTTGATGCGCTTGGATGCCAGTTGGCCTCGTCTGCTCCTACTTGGCAGCGGTTTAAACAGGAGGTTATAGTGATGCTGTTGCTTTTAAAGCTGTTTATTTGCAGTTATTTATTTATATATTTTTTATATATATTTTTTTTTTATAATATTACTTAGTCAAGCGTCGCGTCGCTTGCAGGGAGCCAAGCAATGTGACGCGCTGTGACGAGTGTTATGAGCTGTCACAGTGACAAGCGCGCACTGCACTTGTTCGCACTGAAAACACATGTTGTGCACAGAGCGACGCTTTGTCAGCCCCGCTTGATTGTCAGCGTAAAGTGGAAGAAAGATTTATGAAGCCCGACACGTTTATGGTCATGACATTGCCCGGTAGGCAGGCAGTGCGTAAGCAGCGCGATTAACTGACTTAGCTGCGACAAGCGACTGTGTGTATGTGGCATGCATGCACGCGCATATTTGGCGCGCAGCTGAGTGATGCCGGAAAATAGACGCGCTGCTGCATACATCAGAAATTTGTGTGCGGCGAATGGGCACGCGCGCGCATGCGGGCGATGCCTCGAAATTAGGCGCGTCATTTATAATAAAGCAAACGATGCGCGCGACGTGCTAATAAGTCGAAGTGCGCTTCAAATATTTTAATGAGATAGGTGTTTGCGCTGCCTTATCACTCATATGGTGCACATAGCGCGAGCGTTTGTTACACTTTAGGCTGCAGCGGTAAGTTGTTTGGCGTGCGTCAGCCATTTTTGGCAAGCGCGCGTGGAATTTACCAAGTGTTACCATTCAAAGCGCGGTTTTTTGTATATGCTTATAGGCAATTGATTAAAACTATACTACGAAAATATTTCTTAGTTACCAATTTTAGTTAACTTACCACAATTACTTGAAGTTGCTGTTAATTTGTGCTGTGTAAAGCATTTTCAGGCGGCGTGGGTTGTCTGCAATTAGAAGAGGAAGGAAAGATAAATATTAGTAAATGCAAGACGTTTTTTGGTTTAAGGTTTTTGTAATATCTGAATTTAGTTAAAAATGTTGCCTACATTTTGGCGCAAATCTATAATATCCAAAATTGCGAAAATGCCTAGGTATCAGCATTTTAACTGCAAAAAAATGCTAATTCAATGCAAATGTAATGAAAATACAATTTGATTTTTTTTTTAAGTTAAAATTTTTATGCCTATGATTTGTAGCAATTTTTCTTATTTCGACTTTGCCCCAAAATGTAGGCAACATTTTTATGTCAACTCTGTATATACAGACTTCATAAAAAGTAAGAGAGTTACGCTGAAGCTAATTCCTTTTGTACTTAAAATTATTATTTACTGGCTTTGTCGCATTTTTAATAATATTTACTACTTAATTTTTATTTAAATCAGTGTTTATGCCAAGATGTAGGCAACAACTTTTCGCTCACATATTGATTTAACAATTTCATACAGCTAAAAAGGTGTTCAGATGAAGGCATGCTTCACGCAAAGCTGAAGCATCACTTGGCTTGTTAAAAGTGGATCTTACCAAACATACAAAATATTTATAAATCTCCAAAACGACTTTTAAAACTGTTCATATATGAAGCTATTTAGCATAAATCGATAATAAATTTCTTTACTGAATTTCCAAACACACAAAAAATATTAGCGCTTAGCAAACCACTTTTCAAAATCCCAAAACACGAACACCAACATCTAGCAGTGTGGGCATTGCACGCAAGCGCAAGTCATTAATCATTAGCGCTAAACGCTTTAATTTTCTTAATTAGCTAACAAACGAACGAACAAGCGAGTACAACTCGCTTTTTTTTAGCGCTGATCTGCATAGGCTACCTGCGCGGTGAAGAATTTAAGCCAAACGGGGCGTCGAAGGAGCTAGAGACCCAAGCAAAAAAAAAAAACAAAAAAACAAAAATCAAATACAAATTGGACGAAATGGGCTGAACGCTGGTGTTAGAAATACACATACATATGTAGTAGAGCGGCGGGCGTTGGCGCGGGTGTGCATTAGCATAGCGAAAAGCAACGAGCGCATGCACGCCCACAATGCCCCGCAGCAACGAACGGCTAACAAATAGCTTAGAAAAGGTAAACGAAGGTACAAAACGCTGAAAATATGTGTGTATATTCGTAATGATTTGCTGAAATGTGTGTGTGTGCGTGTGTGTGTGCTTGGAGGTAAGTGTTTTCCAAACAACTTGTTGCATGTTAGCCGCCGAAAAAACCAAACAAAGCGCAAAGACAACAACAACGATAGAGTGAAACACGCACATGGAGACACGCCCACCAAACTTGTGTGCCGCTTGAGTAACAACAACAATTAAGCAAACAGGAGACCCACCAAAGGCTAATTAGAAATTAAAATCATTAATGAATGCGCACAAAAAATATTATATGTGTGTGTTAAATGTGTGCTTGTGTATGTGTAACTGGATATTTTGAGGGTGGCAGCATTCAATTTCTTTTAGCTGTTTCATAACATGCAAGGCGACACGATGGAACGAAAGACTTAAGACACAAACTCGCAGCGCAACATTCATAAATATAATAAATATGCGCGATACTATATATAATATACATATAGTACATGCTGGTATGTATATTTTGAAAGTATATTTACAATGTGTGTGTGTGTGCGCGCGCTGTTGTATTTGTAGGATAATCATGTTTTGAAGCGTCGCTAACACTTAATCAATCACTGTCCGCCACACATGCGCGCTTAAGCAAAAAAAACATGAGCGCATAACAAAAATACAACAACAAGCAATGTTATTACTAAAATGGAACAACAACTCCACCAAGAAGATGCGAAGAGGACACGCTGTTGACGCTTAAAGCCACAGCTAAAGTGAGCGCTACTGCTGCTACCACATACCGCGCTGAAGGTGAGTCGCGCAAACGCATTACAACAACAACAAAACAAAAACAAAAGTAACAACAACAATTAAATCACAACTAAAACGACGCTTGATGACCGCTTGGTATGCGGTGCGCGCAGATTGGCTAAATAAACGCGTTAGAAACAAAAGCAAAAACAACAACAATACAATAGAAAACAGTAAAATCTCTTGAAAGCCATCAAACAGCTAATGCGCCAAAAGACACGCTGTCTCGCGCATCGTCGCCTTTGCCACGCTTAACAAGCAACGAGCCAGCAAGCGCAGCAGCAACCTTCACAGCGCACACGCGCATGCTAAGCCGTTAAGCCGCTCTAACCAGCCAACCGCCCACACCTGTGCGCACCCCTCCAACGCAGTAGACAAGCGGCGCGGGCGTTTTTGCACTAAACTTGCATGCGCACACCGGCATAATGGCGAAAGCGCACGCGCATGCGCAAAACGCTTGCAGCAAAAACAAAACAAAAAGGCTGTTAAGAAAATATACAAGTGCCAGCTTTACATGCTGCCAGTGGAAGCGTGACGCCGGCGAGCGTTTGTTGTTAACACATTCGCTTTACCACCCGCCGCTGGCAAGCCGTTCGACGCGGTGATGGCGTTGTTGACGTCGATGCAGCAACCTCGCGCTCGCCATTACATAGGCGCAAGAACATGAAATTAAATAGCTTTAAACAAGCGCAAAAAATAGTAGAAAATAATATGCAAACAATAACAACAACAACAACTGCGGCAATTGTGGACAACAAGTTGCTGACCGTTTGCGGCATTCTAGGCGCAGGCACACAAACTCTTGTCTGGCATGCGTTGCAGTCATGAAATTGAGTGTTGTTCAACAAACTCACTTGTTGTTGCAGGTATAGTGGTTGCAGGCACTTGTTGTTGCTTAAGCGTTGCAAGAGCGCTTTGAGCAGCAGCAACTGTTAGGCGAGCGTCGCTGATGTTGGCTTTAGCCGCCGGTTGTTTAAAGGTTTTAACTTAAGATCGAAACAGGTTTCGCAGCAGAATATTTTTGTAGCCTGTTTTCTAAGCCGCTCGTCAAATGTTCTTCCAAGTTTTAACATCTTTTTATAGTTGGCTGTTTTCTGCTGTCTGCCAAACAGGCTGTAACTATTTGACCAACAAATATACTGTAAATAGCCACAAATTATGACTAATGATATATAACGCCGACTAACCACTACAATAACAACAGCAGTATTATCGATATATTGACTCGTCGCGCACATGCTTTGTCTAGCATTTACTGCTTCTCCAATTACCTTCTGACTATTTGGCAGCCTAGTTGCTAGGGCATGAGTTGAATTATGTAGGCATAGGCATATTTGGAGGATTTTACAGCAACAAAGAAAACCAAAAAAATAAGAAGCAGCAGTAGTGTTAACTATGCGTGAATAATGCATGTTTACGTATATGCGTGTGGGATGGGAGCTGTTGTGTTGATTTCTCGCCCATAGCGCGCCTAAAGGACAATTGCGCGGCTCTCAAGGTTTTTGCGTTTATATATATAGCATATAGTATATGGTATATGTAAATATAATTATATGAATATATTTGTATATATAAATATATATGTATATTCGTCACATATACGTATTTGCATATGTGTGCTTATGTGATACATCCAGTTAAAGTCTCTAGCTTGCAGGGAGGCAAAATGGGGTTTTATAAACAACATTAGCGAATGTTATCTGAGAGGAATAATGCTAATTCGGCAAGAACACGAGTAAAGAGGTTTAAATAGAAAAATAAATATTCAAATTACATATCATTAACTATTTCTATATCATGCTATTTGTATTATTATTATTTTTTTTTTTTTTTGCGTTTATTATAATGACTGAATATTGTGAATATTTTTCTAAGTAAGTCGTCAAATTTCTTGTCAAAATTCAGATATGAAATTTTTTTAATTAAAAAAACATATATTTACGATTTTATAAAA